TCCATTTTCACTATCCTGGAACTTTTGGCACTTTGTCAGGCTCTGTATAATTTCCTCCCACTCCTTAGAGGACGGACAGTTATGGTTCATTCTGACCATTCCACTGCCATTGGATTTATCACAAAGCAATAGGGAACCAAATCCAAATATCTGTGTTTTCAGACTCTGGATCTTCTTTACTGAACCCATGATGATCATGGAGTGTTGTGTTCTTGGTGTTATGAATCTGGTGGTCAATTGCTTATCTTGATCCAACCAGGTTATCCCTACAAATTGGTCCCTTCTTCTACAGGTATATTGGTGGGTGTGTTCTCCACTGGGGGACACCATATATAGATTTCCCATTTTCCAATTTATTAATCTAAACTTTTCTCTAAATGCTAAAATAGAAGTAACTCAGTATTTACAAACAAAAATCATCATGGTTCATTAATGCTATCTTGACTTTTCTTTGAAAGTCTCATATGGGAAACATCTTTACCAGTGTAAAACATACACATTATATAATTTACACCAGCTCTTTCTTTCCAGGATGGGAGTTTCTTTTCACTTACAATAATGTTTGTCAGAAAGTGTACTTTCATTGATTCATAATATTAATTATATATTGTAATAATAAAAAATATATATGGTAGTCTAGTTATACTCTTGGTTGGGTAATGGTCAGTCAAATAACTAATTGTCTGATTACAATAACACAAAGTAGTAATACGTTTCATACTTAAAGTTCAAAATCTTTATGAGTGAGGGGAGACAAGGATGGCTTGTACTCTTAGATAGCTCAGTTGAATAAAGCATTGGCTTTCTTAGCCATAGGTTTTGGGTTGAAGCTCAAATCACAGTTGTTGTTTTGTTACACTTATTGGCTTTTTTCACTTACATTGATGTTTGTTAGAAAATCTAATTAGAGTGACAAACAAATATTTATTCCAGTATGGTACTTCCCTCCAGTACTGACCTCTATATGCAAACTTTTATCTTTACGTATGCCACAAGTCTTCTACACCTCCCAATTGGAATCAAATGATTCCAACATGTCTCTCATGCAAATCATCATGCGTTACTTCTCCAATAATAGGAGCATGATATACATGATGCATGTGACTCCCTCTATATGCCTCTACCAAACTATCTTCTCTCGTTTGGCAGCACTTGTGCTTGGGTGTGTTCCATTTGTTTGTTTCAAGTTTCATGTATACTAGTTTTAGTATTCTACCAAAGTGGTTTTCACTTACATTACTTCCAAGTGTATTAAGACTGTTTCTTCACTTTAATTTAATCCCAATTTATTACAATCACATTATTATTAATAATTTCTATTTTGATTGACACTTCTTGATATGAATTCCGAAGTTCGTGTTACCACTTCAGGAGTCACACCTGCGACTAGCGCTATTTCACAGGCCTCGGATGCGGGCGACCTAGTGGGAGACTTATCAGCATTTATTGGCAGGGAGATTGAATGTTACATGGGTCAATCTCTATCTCTGGACCTCTCCCCACTTCCTTCCAAACATGCCGAGCCTGTTCAGGCTGATGAGGATTGGATCGCCAATTTCCACCTCCTGATTTTATCGTGCCCTCTCATGTCCCTCCTGAGGAGTCAGTCAGGCCTACTATGGTCTTTTTGGATTTGGTTTCTCAGGTATGTAATGTTTTATCCATTGCTCCTACTTCTTATGAACTGCATCCCTTGCCCCTATTTCCTTCCTTACTACATGCCCAATATTCACATCCCTATTTGGTTTTTTCTGTCCTGCCCAGATATTCAGGTACATGCTGACCAATTTGACTCACAATTAAGTGATAGGATTAACATGCCTCACCTTTTCCCATCTTCGTCTTACCATCAAAATTCTTTTACAGTATCTCTTTACCATCCATCCCCTCTCTGAAGCTCTCCACTAAAATTCTGAGGAGTTTTCTGGTGACATCCTTCCCCTTCTTTCCTCCACATTGGCTCATTTGTTGTCTTTGGCTATGGCTTTGCATATGTGGTTTCTCTGTTGTTGTGATCTTCTAGGTTGTGATGCGACCTTAACTCGCATCCATTTCCCAGCATCTTATCTTAGGAATTGATGTATGGTTCTACGTTTTTGGCATTATGTATTTTACATGATCCCTAAGTCCTTGGAGTCACAAGTTGCATCAGTACAACAACTTGTTGCCTGTTTGTCTCAGTTAGAGCCCAATATGGCACCTGCTACAGTTTCCCATCCTTCTCCTTCCCAATCCTTACCTGTCCCTACTGTTCGGGGTGCCTCGTCTCGTTGTTTTCTTCGATGATGGATATCATGTCGCCAACATTATCAGTGACTACCCAGCAGATGCTCGACTTGCTGATTTTCTTCATATGGCATCCTTTCATCAAGGATCATTGGGTTCTTCAGATTTTGTTGGAAGGATTTGTGATCCTGTTTCGTTCCTCACCTCCTATTTCTCCCATACCAGCTTTCTTCCTTCCACCTCAGGATCCAATGACCGACCAGCATCTGTTGGAGGCAGTTCAGTACCTACTGTCTCAGCAGGCCATCAAACCTGTTCTAAATACTTCACCATGTTTTTATTCCAGACTCTTTCTTGTTCCCAAGAAAACCTGGGACTGGAGGCCTGTGATCAATTTGTCCCAACTCAATTTATTCATTCAACTGCCCCATTTTATCTTAGAGTCATTTCTCACACTATGGTGGGATTTTTCTCTGGATGTATGAATGACCAAGATGGACATTGCCAATGCTATCTCCACATACTTGCCTCAACACAGTCTCGTCCGTAACTTCAGTTCCTGCATCATGGGGTGGTTTACCATTTTTTTGCCCTACCCTTAGGGCTTGCTTCTGCCCCTTATGTTTTCTATCAGATCGTCAGAGCTTTTGCTCACCATCTTCGTGCTCTGTCATGTTCAATCATGCTTTAAATTGAGATGAGGTGATCCACAAGATCGCTTCCAGGTGAATAACCTTGTGATGTAATTGCTTCATAAACTTGCCCATTCTGGACTGTACCACCCATGGACTGCATGGGTAAAGCAGAAGGGTATAGCTGCCCATACCTGCTATGCCTTGTATTGAATAAGTCAGTATGGTCTGCTTTCAAAATAGGGTTTCAAGGTCACCCATTGCACTGTCTCAGGTGATGCTGTTCCTCGATACTCTCCAATGCATTCTCACCTATGTTCTATGGGTGTGATATTCTCCACTATGCATTATACAATCACTAAGGAGTGAGACATCAAATTGCAGTTCACCCCTTCGATTCAGAGCCCTCATTCTACCTCTGTGTAGGTGTTAGTACCCCGTGGCTGGGTTTTGGATTTAGAGTAGAACCAATCAACATAAGTCCTCACACATGTTTGTGGTTGTCTAATTTCCTCCCTAGATTATACTCCTGTGTCTTGGGCCACAACAGACGTAAGGGAAATTGTTATGGTTCTGTCATTTTTGATATCCCTCGTGTATCTTAATGGGAGGATGTTATTGCTTTTGGATGGTTCCAATTGATTTCGTTGTTGTGGGGAGCTGATTTATATTTAATAGACATTTTTTCCATATCGGATGTCAGGGCCCTAAATTGATATATCAAAGCTAACACGTGTCTTGTTCTGGAGTTGGAGTGGTTCTAGGTTACCTCCAATCTCTTGAACTTGAAGTGAAGACAGTATCATCCTCATGCTACCCCCACATGGATGTCGGTTCCCAGTGGCATGGGTTTTGGATGTAGTTGACTTATCGACTATGGTCCGTCAAGCTCCAGCCATTCTACACTGAGGGGCACATCCATTGATTTACCCACTTTCATACCTTGTGGGATTAAGTTCCATATATATATTTCATGGTTAGGATCACTATCGTACCTCAGTTCTCTTCAACTTGGATTGCTTCTCTCTTTTTCTGCCCTTATCTCCTACATGCTTCATGGATGAGTAAAGGGTATACCTGGTCAAAAGTGGTGTGGTTCCCCTCATCAGATCTTTGGATTTGACTCTCTCATTTTCAGGGGTAACCTTCTGATGATTTGGGGGGTATTTCTGTCATTCCTTCACACTGGTCCCTCCACCTAATCAATGTGGGATTCTATCTAATCTTGTGAATAGAGGGAAGTTATAATTTTCCTACACTGAAAATGTATTTCCGATTGGTACTTCCCTCTACTCACACGTCACACCCTTCTTCCCCACTTTCCCCTGGTGCTTACGTCTTCTGTCAATCTTCGAAGTGATAGTGCTGTAGAGGCATATAGATGGAATGACATGCATCATGTATGTCATGCTCCTATTGGTGGAGAAGTGATGCATGATGCTTTGCATGAGAGACATATTGAAATCATTTGATTCCAACAGTGGGGGAGCAGAAGGCTTATGGCATACATAAAGAAAAAAGTTTGCATATAGAGGACAACAGTGTATGAGAATAGCTAATCTTGTGAGTGGAAGGAAGTACCTATTGGAAATACATTTTCAGTATAGGAAAATTATAGCTATACATTATAAAATGTGTACTAAGAAGTATTTTACAAAATAGCAGGGATATGTTACTGTATAATGATACATTAATATTAATCTTGTATATATATATATATATATATATATATATATATATGTGTTGTTTATAGT